ACGATGTACGCTCCACGGTCATTTTGCACACGCAAGTTTCTCGCAGCAATTTGCTCGCGAGCGAACGTTAACTATGTTATTTCTCAGATTCATCTGCTTAAGGAAAGAAAAGAACTATGAGATATGAAGTAGTCCTGCCATACGATTGTTCCGGACCGAAATAGAAGAATGAAATTGTAGGTCATATCGAATCGGAAGAGCACAGAAGATTTTATCGTGAGGAGGAATACTGCCATTTTAAAGCAAACAAAAGTGGGCATCTTCCTCTGACAAGTTCCGATAACAGCTTAAAGGCACCATCCACCCAAAATCTCGCAGTCAATGTTTTTGTCGCATTTAGGCCTTCTGAAAGCCCTGATTCCGAATATGAAGTCGAAAATCCGCGAAACCTCCAAAAATCCCTGTTTCGAGAACCCTCTGCAACAAGCGCAGGCGAGATAAAGCATGCAAGTGGGCGGGGCGACCGGGGTCGCCCCGCCTACTTTGCTACTTCCGGAGCGGATTTCTCCCTTCAGAAGCAGTCTTTTGCGGCGAAGCTTGGGGGTTAGCCTAGTGTGGGGACCCACACTAGTATGTTATCATAATCTCGCCAACCTCCATTTTGGGTGGACGGTGCCTCCCCTTGTTGTCCAGGTATGAAAACAGTGCAATGCTTGCACAGCATGCCTTCCTTGCCGAGAAAATTGCTCTCAAACTTACACGCGCAGGCCATTCTTACAAGCATCCAGACGAGTTGGCAATTTCTTTCTCACCATTGGAGGCTGCCCACCGCAGTGCTATAACCATTGGGTCGTGCAACGATTCGGCGCCATCAGCCTTGCTGCACTCGTCCAATTCCAAAGGGAAGGGCATTGAAAAACGCGTGTTTTCGGCGTTTTTCAATGCCCTTCCCATAGGTGCGAAGGGTTGAGATAAATCTCACCCTCCCTTCACTTTGGAGCCTGGGCTACCCCCCCCCCCTTCACTTTGGACGGAGGAAGAAAATTTTTTTGAGGTGAGATGATAGTGTGCTTGAAGTGGAGTAGAATCTAAGGTAAAACAATTTATTTACAGAGTGTAGGGAACGAGAATGCGAAAAACGAAGCAAAAATCGGGCCAGACCCCCCCCCCCCCTCACTGAGACGAAGCAGGTGCTGAGGTGAGAAAATACTTAGTTCAAAGTTTAAATATCGTATTTGAGAAATCCAATTTTAAAAATTTCATGGGACGAGCGGTAACGAGTCGGATGGAAGGGCGCATGGTCATGAAACGAATGGCGGGGCGTGTTGTACGAGACTCGGAAAAAGACATTTTGTGGTTGTACTGTGGCTATAAATTAAATAATTTGCCATTGTATTGTGTGTATAAGGATAAACGATAAATGGAAATGTTGTACACAATCAAAGATGTAGATAGTGAGCGAGGTTTGGTTGAGGCAGTTTGAGTTGCCAACTATACCCCCTTCGAGCCAAAAAAAATTCCATATCTCGGTAGGGGGGTCCCCTAATAATCTAATTTCTTTTTTATCTTGTCCAGAAGAGTGTACTGGATATAACTAGGGCTGTCGCAAAAGAATGTGCTGAAGCAGACCTTCTTGAGCTTGAAGTTTACACAAAAATCTATGCGTCTTCAACTCGGTACTGTTGCTCTCCTTCCTTACAGCAAATCCTTTTGCGACAGCCCTACTTATATCAAGTAAACCTCACTCTACAAGATGGTGAAAAAAATAGATCACGAGAGGACCTCCCCAGATATGGACCGTCAAATAGAACCACCCAAAATCGATTTTTTTGCTATAACTCTTGTGTAAATAAACAAAAATAAACATGGAGCTGGATTTAGAATCTACTTTTCAAGAGCTTTCGAATGATATATAATATATGGGGGTCCCTTGTTTTTTTCGCCCTGCGACAGGGGTTGAGACGATTCAGTTATGGCTTCTCAACCCCGCCCACTTTAATGCATATGGAGGGGGGATAGACCTGAGATCGCATAACTGAATCGTCACAACCCCTGTCGCAGGGCGAAAAAAACAAGGGACCCCCATATATTATATATCATTCGAAAGCTCTTGAAAAGTAGATTCTAAATCCAGCTCCCTGTTTTGTTTATTTACACAAGAGTTATAGCAAAAAAATCGAATTTGGGTGGTTCTATTTGACGGTCCATATCTCAGCGGGGAGGTCCTCTCGTGATCTATTTTTTTCACCATTTTGTAGAGTGAGGTTTACTTGATATAAGTAGGGCTGTCGCAAAAGGATTCGCTGTAAGGAAGGAGAGCAACAGTACCGAGTTGGAGACGCATAGATTTTTGTGTAAACTTCAAGCTCAAGAAGGTCTGCTTCAGCAGATTCTTTTGCGACAGCCCTAGTTATATCCGGTACACTCTCCTGAACAAGATAAAAAAGAAATTAGATTATTAGGGGACCCCCCTACCGAGATATGGGATTTTTTGGCTCGAAGGGGGGTACAGTTGGCAACTCAAACCTGCCTCAACCAAACCTCGCTCAATATCTACATCTTTGATTGTGTACAACATTTCCATTTATCATTTATCCTTATACACACAATACAATGGCAAATTATTCAATTTATAGCTACAGCACAACCACAAAATGTCTTTTTCCGAGTCTCGTACAACACGCCCGGCCATTCGTTTCATGACCATGCGCCCTTCCATCCGACTCATTACCGCTCGTCCCATGAGATTCTTAAAATTGGATTTCTCAAATACGATATCTCAACTTTAAACTAAGTATTTTCTCACCTCAGCACCTGCTTCGTCTCAGTGAGGGGGATCCGGTCCCGATTTTGGCTTCGTTTCCCGCATTATGGTACATGATAATGAAATGATATTTATCAAAAAAAGTATTTGAAAACATTTTACTGACTATGTTAAAATCTATACAAATACATTTAGAAAATTTGAAATCAAAAAAATTGGAAAACTGTTAAAATTGAAATCCAAAAAAATTAAAGTTAAAAAATTGAAAAAATTTTTTTTCAATTCTACCCCCCCCCCCGGGTCGACGTCGGCAATTTTTGGACCCCCTTCACTTTTGAGGGTCAAAAAAGCCGAGACCCCCTTCACTTTGGAAGGTACCCATCTCAGGCCTTCGCACCTACGGCCCTTCCCTTTGGCGCTTTCAAAGTGGATTTTCGGAATCAGCGTATTGAATAACCCTAGGTAAGCGGAAATTTGACTAGGTTGAGACTTGCCAGGCCACTGCCTTTAAAACTACTTCCATTTGCTAAATTTGCGGACGATAATCCGAAGCTGAATATTGTGGATGGTGCTAATTTCGCGAATGAAGAGATTTCGGAGACGAGTGCTTTGGAAGCATTTCCACCATAGTTCTAGAACAATTAAACCAATCAACAACCAAACTAAAAAGGCCTTGGCCGGGATACGACTCCGGCTAACTCAAGTTTAACGCCAGGACACAAAGAAAACTACTATCTCTAAAATACTACTTAAGTTGGCCTACCTAGAACGCAAACTATATTGTATCAGATTTATCAAGAGCAGGCAAACTGACACTGCTGTCAGCACCATTACACTCGTCTTCAAAAAGCTGTTTGGCGCTGAAAGCATTTTGTGCCAGCCTCTCGCCAGCTCTCTCAAGGCCAGGGAAGCTCTTCAGTCAGTTTTTTCAATGGCTCGTTTCTGGTAAACGGTAGAAGCAAACATAAATACGAATTCCTTTTTATCTCTGTGGAGGAAACTGCTTTCGTAGAAGGCGCAAATAGAGGTTGGCCTACCTAGAACGCAAACTATATTGTATCAGATTTATCAAGAGCAGGCAAACTGACACTGCTATCAGCACCATTACACTCGTCTTCAAAAAGCTGTTTGGTGCTGAAAGCATTTTGCGCCAGCCTCTCGCCAGCTCTCCTGAGGCCAGGGAAGCTCTTCAGTCAGTTTCTTCAATGGCTCTTTTTCTGGTAAACGGTGGAAGCAAACATAAATACGAATTCCTTTTTATCTCTGTGGAAGAAACTGCTTTCGTAGGAGGCGCAAATAGAGGTTGGCCTACCTAGATCGCAACTACTTTTGTGAAAACCGTGGATTGGAGACTGTTTTCTCTGCAGAAAATGGTCTTCTTTCCGAGAAGGAGTTCTTTAAGCAAAGTGTGGTCTACTGATAATGGTAGCATTCAAGATATTCTTTTCCAAGAACATTTTGTAAAAATCGTGGATTGGAGGGCGTTTTCACTGGAGAAATGGGTTTTTCTTTTTTGGAGAAGAAGTTCTCTAAGCAAAGAGTGTTCTCATTACAGTGTGCTCGAACATTTTTGGGGCTAAGCATTCGAAAATTCTTTTCCATGAACATTTTGTGAAAATCGCGGATTGGAGAGCATTTTAACTGCAGAAATGGGTTTTTTTCCGAGAAGAAGTTCTTTAAAGGCACCGTCCACCCAAAATGGAGGTTGGCGAGATTATGATGGCATACTAGTGTGGGGCCCCACACTAGGCAAACCCCCAAGCTTAGCCGCAAAAGACTGCTTCTGAAGCGAGAAATCCGCTCCGGAAGTACTTGCATGCATTATCTCGCCTGCGCTTGATGCAGAGGGTTCTCGAAACAGGAATTTTTGGAGGATTCGCGGATTTTCGACTTCACATTCGGAATCAGGGCTTTCAGAAGGCCTGAATGCGACAAAAACATTGACTGCGAGATTTTGGGTGGACGGTGCCTTTAAAGAAAGAAAAGAATACAGCAGAGAAGAAGAAGTTGCGTCATCTGAACATCCAGAAATTTTGATCTCCTGTGCCATTATGAACGAAACTAAGGGCAAATACACTACTAGTTGATGCATCCAAGGCCCTTCTGTACTGATTTTGTATTCGCAGCAAAATATGCAAGAATAGGCCCAGAAGTTTCTACATATTCGATTGCGCGACTGAACGAAGAGTAAGTGTTCATCTCCATCACATTTATAAAAAGTGGGTGTGGAAGCGACTAGATTCGGATGTATCTGGGCACCAGAGGTGATATACTTTCACTTCAATGTCGAAGATTCCTCTAGTATATGACTTCGATAAAAATTCTTCTTGAGCATTTTATCATGATACATTACATGAACGAAAATAAATATAAAGATCACATGCGATAAAGTTATTAGCGTATGATATGAGCGGTATCCGGCTCACAGAATGACTCCTTGGCTTACAAGCCCTTTGTCCAAGAATCGCTTTCGAGCAAAACATAGCCACCACTGGAAAGTGATGAAGATAGAGTTGCAGGAAAAAGAAAGAAGAAGGGAAAGTACAGTTTGAAGCAAAGAAGGAAATCGAGAATGGTATATCTGCAAGAATTCAAAATCTCGAGATAAATCTCACCTTACTGGGCTTGGTTGAAGGATCTGGGAACGCTAGCTCGCAAAGTCGCATTCCTAATTCCTGTCGCATCTGTTGTAGGTAAGAACGCATCGTTTCTTCTTCTTGTTTATTTGCTGGTGCCTACAATTAGGAAAACTTGAAGCAAACCAGCTGAAGACAGAAGTAGTTATTAGACCTTATACATGTTGTTGAGAGGGAAATCCGCTTCGCCTGGGATTGGTAGCTGATGGCTGAGAGCTAGTGCTGCTAGATCCTTTTGTCCAGAGATTTTATTCGGACTCTAGAAAGGTGATATGAAGGAAGGCAAAGGGAAGATGACGTGAACTCACCCTTTGCAGTTTTCGTAGGCATTCCGTGATGTAAAGCGTCAGATAGATCAGGGTGCGGTCGGAAGGTCCTTTGATTTCAAACTCACGGAAGAAGATATTAGGCTTGAAATACATAAGTGCCTCATCGATTATGTCGAGATCATTGTCAGTTCCTGAATTAGCATACTTCCATTTGCTAATGATTCGACTTGCACAAGAATAAAAATCTGAGATCGGAAAAGTCGGAAAAAATTACGTGGCGCTGGTCCCTTGTAATTTGTACGCAAAGGTAGAAGCGCCATATTGCCAACCACAAGCTCATGCTCGATTTTTGAATGGTATGCCTACAATTGTGTCAAATTGTCTATGATAAAATAAGCCGTCAGAAGTACTTACAGGCATCAGCAGACAACAGGTGTTCCTTCTTCGAAGCTGCAAGATATATTAAATAGAATTAACACGAGAAAGAGTGAAATAGTGATATAGCGGTAAGACTGCGACTTAAACAATCACATGTAAACTTAATAAAGAATAATATTTATGGCCATCAACATAGAACATAATAAAAAAGCACGAAAGAACGTTACCCGATAACTGATTACGCGGATATGATATACAGATCTGATTGAGAAAAAAGCCTGATATACAAATTTGAACAACATGAATTAAAAGGCAAGTTTCAAATTCATACACCTGGGAGGTTCAGTTTTACGACTCGGACTCAGCATTTTGAACTCGCTCAATTTGCTCTGCGAACGACTGTTTCGAAAGCAGCATGTAATCGATCGGAGTTATTGTCAACAGTGAAACCCATCTTTCCAGTGTTTTGAAGTCTTCAGCGGCAAAAATGTAGCTGTTCCCCGTTCTGAGCATGAAACTGGATGTTTCTGTAAACCTCAAGATGCCTTCAATCAACCTACGTTTTGTACTTGATTTCAAAGGTGAAATCCTTTCCTAGTTTGTTCTCATCGCAAAGCTCTATAAAGCAGTCCTCGATTATCAGGATGAGAAATGGTGGCTCCGGATCATCTTGCTTACCGAAGACAAACAGAAGATTTGCCTTCAGTACTGCGTAGCATTGGCGCCAGCGCAAATCCTCAAGAAAACACAATTTAGAATTTGATATCATGCAAGTAAAAAGAGGAAACTTTCTTGATTAACGATATAACACTTTCTCATCCAACAGCTCCCTATAAGCGATATCAGTCTATGTCAAATTCACCCGAATCCGACATCAAGGTCAAAGTCAATCCGCAACCGTTTCGTCAAAGGAAATAAACTCTGACCAATCATTCGTCAACGAGAAAACACCTGACCATTCGGTGATAGTCGGTGACACCAACACTGCAATCGTGCAGCTGTTTCATGGTCTAGGTTTCAATATCCCTGCCAAAGTTTTCCTCACTTCTAATTTTGCTTTCAAAAGTAAGTAGCAAAAATAATAGAAACTCTTTGATGAAAGAAATTGCAAAGCACATTACAGAAAAATGTGCTAGCTTTTAATTTCGATCGGATCTAGTGATAAATTGTCGACTGAACGAACTTCTTGTGCATGATATCAACAGCTGCTAGTTTTGCCTACGGCAGTGTTGAAACTTGAGCTATTTCATGTGGTGCTTGAAGATGACAACAGCAGATGCGGTAGAGAGGGGGCATGACAAGCGATATTAACACATTCTTTCACACATCAGCACAGGAGCCTCTCATAGCCTTTCATTCGTATGTTTACTTTCTTGCTGCGACATCGGTTATCAAGATTTCGTTTTCGTAAAAAAAGCTGCACATTTTCTTTCGATAGTGTTTGATAACTCTATAGTACGAATCTTTTTCAAACGATTTCGCATCTTCGCACTCAAAAAATCGAAGATATCTGGTATCTGCTGTCGTCAAAATGCCCATATTTTTCTCTCTCTCTCTCTCTCTCTCTCTCTGCATCAATAGTTTCACTATTTTCCTGCGTAACAACTGTTGCAAATTACATTCGAACACACTCACCATCACTTCTATAATCTGCACCGTCTTAGTTGTTTGATCAAAAATGACTGATCTCATCAATTTGTTGGACAAAAATGTAGGAATATAGATGAACAGCAGCACTCAGGTTGTTTATACACGACTATATCTTCTATAGGTAAGCTGATTTTGGAAGGGCTAGATACAGGGCACTTATGCATATTTTGTCATATTTTATCGGATGCAGCTTGAAAAGAATTATGACTCAATCAAAAATACTAAAAAAAAACGAAATGGTTTTCCTATCCCACACAAGGTGTACAGCCACTATTTTAATAAATTACGGTCAACAGCGCTATTAAAATGATAAGAAAAGAAAGAAAAAACCAAAAACCTGTTGCAATTGTAGGTTAGCAGCGAATCGGCGTTCGAAATTCGGATCTGAAGCCAAACGGTAGAGTGAACTCGCGTTAGCCAGCATTCTAAACCATGATTAGACTGGGTTCGCTAGTTCAAATATTATTATTGGCTATTTCTGTCTATGCTCAACTGAATGATGTCAAATTCCGAGTCAAGAGACCTTTCGAACGAGATCAGAAACCATTCGAAGAGGAGGAAGATGGCATGGTGAGCTGTCTGTTGTTTAAATTCAATTCAAATGAGTTTTTCAGTATGGCCTCTGCGAAAATGACTCTGGACAAATGTATTACTACAAACAGTATGAAGGACAAGAGAATATCTGCGAGAAAGAAGTAGCGAAAATCAAATACAGCAACAAAATCAATGAGACCGGGTGAGCGCCAAGCCATAAGATGAGTCATTTAATAGTCATACGTCGCAAATAATTGTGATGTTATGACTCCAGAAAACCTCACCTAGGCATTTGCTGCTGTGTGTGTGCTGGTTGATACTACCACATCATCGTTTTTAGCGAAGGAGAAGGGAAATTGAAATCTCTGTAAAATTTCAGATGGGCATTCGTTGAAGTAGAAGTTGCAGACAGGGTGGTCGAACCGTATATGCAAGGTTATGCTGCTGGCTTTGTTGAAGGCAAGTGAAACTTTCTACATGTGATAAACAACATAAATGACAGCTTTTGCATGTACAAATTCTCAAGTGTGTCTGGAAAACAGCAAAACTTTTGTCATCGGTGAACGACTAATTATGTGATGAGAAGAAAAAATTAGAAATGTTGATCACACAACAAATATGCAAAAGTGAATGAGATCAGGAAAAGGTCAAAATCAGAAGTGAATTGAAGCTGCTGCAGCTCGCTATTTTTGCACGACTATTGGCGGCAGCGTGTGCATTACGACTTTCGCCCATTACAGTGGGCAGTAAAGGCAAGCTGTAGATTGCTTGTGAGAGGATTTTGTAGATGTTACCGATGAAAAACTGAGTGCGATTGGAAGTTGCAACAAATCTGATTTTTAAACAGATGTATAATTTTTAAGAAGAAGCCGGAAGCTTTTCATTCCAACTTTGCCAGAGTATGTGATTATTAACTGCTAGTACACAAGTTTTAAGTTTCCCTTTTATCTAACAGCAAAAAAAAATTGGAGTGTAATTCATTAAATCTTCAGGAAGGTCAAGTTACTTTGTGGGTGTTCAAATCGACCCACTCTATTGAACATCTTCTGGTTTTTTTTCTCATTGGAAAGCTTATTTGCTTAACACGGTTATATCAATGCCAATAGGATAAACATGTTGCTTGTCTTGGCAGAGAAAAAGTGCATGATTTTTTGAAAGGGCCGACCAGATGATAGCAACTGATTGCAAAAAGTTCCATATAAGAAGACTATGTTTTTGCGACACTTTTCCGTTATCGGAACCCAAAGTTGTGGGTGCTTTTTGTTATGCGGAATATGAATCAAAAACATAGTTCCACAAGTAAAAATCGACCTCCTGCTGGTGCGTCGGGATATGTTTTGAAAGTTTCCTGTCATGTTTTTCTCGGTTTCTACCATCACACTTCAAAAACGCTTCAGCACATTTCTAAATGTGGAGCAACACCAGCACCGCTATGCTTTCATCTGTTGTTATTAATTCATGATGCGAAACAGGCAAAGATACAGCAGGCAAGATGCATGCAAGAAATCTAATAGCAGAGGATAGAAATCATTAAAGACTCGAGTTTGAGGAATTCATAGGGTGCCTTCATACCGCGCCCGCAGCAGCCGCTGGCAGCCCGTAACAGCCCGCAGCAGCCGTCCAGCAGCCGCCAGCAGCCCGTAGGCAGCCGCCAGCAGCCCGTAGCAGCCGCCAGCAGCCCGTAGCAGCCCGCAGCAGCCGCCAGCAGCCCGTAGCAGCCGCCAGCAGCCCGTAGCAGCCCGTAGCAGCCGCCAGCAGCCCGCAGCAGCCCGCAGCAGCCCGTAGCAGCCGCTGGCCGCTTTTGTCATACAAGCGCAAAATCACCAAATTCTTACTATTTTAATTGCAACCGCCCACGGCCCTCCATCCTCCACGCTTTTTCCTCTCTGTTGCCGCAATTTGATCTCATATATCATCATACTTGTGTCCAATGTTGTTATTATCTTGTTACCGTAGATTGGTTATCCAACTGATGCTCAGTTTCCCTCTCGTGAACCATATTTCGCCAAAGTCTTCGCGATGTGATTTCTTCTGACTTTGGATGCGTCCAGTTCCTGCAGGTTGCTATTTGCTAACTTTTAGGATGTTCTGCTTCAATCGTATCACATCGGCGTGGAAGAGGGAAAGTATGGGCAGGCGCACGCAAAGTACTAAGAATTTGATGATTTTCGCTTCCATGACAAAAGCGGCCAGCGGCGGCTACGGGCTGCTGGCGGCTGCTACGGGCGCGGTATGAAGGCACCCATAGATGTGAACCGATAGGGTAAATGTGGAGTTTTGGAACAATTAATATGTTCTCTTTAAAATTTTGTGGGAGTGTCTACATACTGTATCGGGAAGAAACGAAGATTATACCACATAGGCCCTCAGCCAATGGTGATTAACGCGCATGTAGGGGTCGAGAGTGTTGGTTTTCCTTAACAAATGGCAAGCAAAAGTCTTTTTGCAAGTTTAGGAGAAAATTGCATTGATGAGTGTAGACGGCTCTCAAAATCTCGTGGGTCCAAATTGTGGAAAAGTGCCTATTATTTTTGAAATCAATTCACTTATAATCTCCGATTATCTGATCACTTTGGAGGACAAAGCTAATAAAGTGCAGTTTTTTTCATAGACGAATCCCTAAACTTCCAAGGTCGTTATGAAGAGAAATTCGTTATTTGTAGTCTTAAGTTTGCTACTTTTGGCTACAAATGTGTTGACGTATGATTTTGTACGAAAAATGCAGTTTGAAAAAGGAACAAGATCAAAAAACTTTTTTCTGCAGGTAGAACCACTCGCGATCTCATTTACTTGCACTTGTCCAACACGGTAGATGGCTTTTGCAAAGGAGCAGAGGAATTTTGTGAGGAACTCAACCAGTATCTGCTGGATAACTATGTTTGGATGGAAGAGAAAATTGCTAAAAATCCTCTAGACAATTACTGGATCCAGGTTGGAGATCTGGCAAGAATTTTAGAAATGTCTTGAAGAGAGTATCTCTAGGTGAACATGACCATCAACCATCTACTTGGTATGATTGACGGCTACGATGCACAACTCGGACGTCGACTGGGAGTTCAGGAAATTGTTTCACATCCTCTATTGTAAGTAGCTGATACATTTTGTGCACTATTTGGAGCTTAGATAAAAGCCGATTGTTTCAGCCTTATCCAACTGGCTGGCGATATTGAAGATCTGGCCATAAAGTTCAAGAAGCCAGAAACTCGAAGGAGTCGATTGGCGGGCACAGGACATTGTTCAGCACTTGTAAAAGTCGGTTTTTTACACAGAACAAATTCAAAAATTTTTTAAAGGTAAATTAATAGCAAAACCGAAAATGCGCGGCAGTCCTTCATTTATCTCATTGATAAGCAAGAAGTTTTGATGCTTTGAGTTGGACATCAGTTGCGCATAGTTTAAAAGGCCTCTTCGTCTGTGTAATATCTTCGAAAGCCTAGAAAAGTAGACTTTCAACTAAATTCAAGGAGAGACATGGTAATGGAATATCTGTCAACTACTGCTTTTTTTTGAAATTGAAGATATGAAGGTATAAACAAAAATTTTCGTTTAAATTTCACATAAAGGAACACCGTAAAGCGTTAGATGAAACCATATGTAGAGCATACTGTATGTAGCGTTTTAGGTACTCCCAGACCATTCCGATATTTACTTTTCGCATGTGACATGGGCTTCCTATTCATCTATGCTACGTATGCAGAAACGCTACACATTTGCTACCTCGGATCCTGGAAGAAGCTATGCTTTCAGCGGTTATCCAGGTTCGAGCATTGTTTCAAGCTATAAATGCTTCAAGCATTTCTTTGCTCTGTTAAGGATCTATTCCATCTGTCGATGATTTCGTAGTCACATCTTCTCGTTTGGCTATATTGGAAACGACCATCAGCAATTACAACGAGAAGCTGGATGAGTATATGACGCCGGAAAGCGTCTTATGTTGGATTAGAACGCAGGTTTGTCTCTCCCATAAGCTGAAGAGTAGATGTATTTTTGTCAGCTCGGAAGAAAGATTGAAGATTCACTTCTAGAGAATATACAAAAAGTTTTTTGCATTTATAATTGCGGATCTACAGGTGGCTCATCGCAGTGCCTCATCTGGAGTTCGATGGGCGAAGACATTTGCAAAATACAACTCCGGCACCTATAACAATCAGTGGAACATTCTTGACTACAAAAAGTTCCGCCAAGGTCAGCAAGACAAACTTCTCCATGGTCTACTGCATGTGTTGGAACAGCTACCGTGAGTAGCCTTCGTATGTACCAAAAATTCTTTCTGGTCTTCTAAACCAAGCCCATAGGAACCATGTTGTGCACACCGATATGACGCACACTCTGCTACGACAACAGTACTGGCCAAGTTACAATTCACCGTAAGTAATTCTCAACCAATGACATATCCATCGGATGTCATCGCAGTCACCACTTCTGTATTCAGATATTTCCCGAAAATCTTCGAATGGTCCGAGACTGACAAGATGGTGGAGAAATTCGGTGACTGGTACAGGTAGGGGGTCCGTCTCCGTTCGCTTTCGTGTTTGTATGGAGTTTGGTAGTTCTACTGATCAGACCTAATTTTTGGCGAAACATGCAGAACTGGCAGGATAAGTGTAATCTGGTTCAATCTGAAAATGCTGCGTAGATCTGCTTTGCTTTCGCTAAAAATGGACTTCCTTCTTGGATCTTACCAAACCTAGGAGAAGCCAAAGACTTTGTAATTAATAATTGCCTAGTTCAAAAAAGTTAATCAATGAAGCATAAACTTCTAATTGAAAAATGAGTATTTTGTATATTATGCGCAGTTGTACAAGTAGACGTGCAATAATAGAGATGAGCGATGATGCTCAGCATCACTTCGGCTAATTATGATTTGTGTACTTCAACACCGTGTTGCTTGACACCATTCTCGACAAGCGTTAAAACTACATGTGCTCATGCAAACCTGTGATACTCATTACTGCGGGTGTTGTTCCCGGCAGCAACCAGTGTTGCTTGACACCATCCTCGACAAGTCGGTATGGCTGCAACAACAAATGGTATTGCTCAACTCCATGCGCTACTGCAGATGAGGTCCCCTTGCAGCAACACGATGTTGCTTGACACCATCCTCAACAAGTACTGTATGGCCGTAACCGTGCTACGAGTACTGATGTTTCCTTGCAACACACGGTGTTGCTTGACACCATCCTCGATAAGTGTCGGTATGGCTGCAACATGGTGTTGCTCAACTCCATGTGCTACTGCAGAGCCGTGATACTCATTATTGCGACAAGTAGTGATGTTCCCTTGCAGCAACACGGTGTTGCTTGACACCATCTTCAAAAAGTGTCGGTCTGGTTGCAATGATCTTGCTCAACTCCATACTACTGCAAAGCGGTGATGATCATTATTGCGGCAAGTAGTGGTGTTCCCTTGCAGCAACATGATGTGCTTGATACCATCCTAATAAGTGTCGGTCTGGCTGCAACAACGAATGATCTTGCTCAACTCCATGTGCTACTGCAAAGCGGTGATACTCATTATTGCAGCAAGCAGTGATGTCCCCTTGTAGCAACACGATGTTACTTGACACCATCCTCAACAAGTACTGTATGGCCGTAACCGTGCTACGAGTACTGATGTTTCCTTGCAACACACGGTGTTGCTTGACACCATCCTCGATAAGTGTCGGTATGGCTGCAACATGGTGTTGCTCAACTCCATGTGCTACTGCAGAGCCGTGATACTCATTATTGCGACAAGTAGTGATGTTCCCTTGCAGCAACACGGTGTTGCTTGACACCATCTTCAAAAAGTGTCGGTCTGGTTGCAATGATCTTGCTCAACTCCATACTACTGCAAAGCGGTGATGATCATTATTGCGGCAAGTAGTGGTGTTCCCTTGCAGCAACATGATGTGCTTGATACCATCCTAATAAGTGTCGGTCTGGCTGCAACAACGAATGATCTTGCTCAACTCCATGTGCTACTGCAAAGCGGTGATACTCATTATTGCAGCAAGCAGTGATGTCCCCTTGTAGCAACACGATGTTACTTGACACCATCCTCAACAAGTGCTGTATGGCCGTGACCATGATTGCGACAAGTAGTGATGTGCCATTGTGGCAACACGTTGTTGCTTGACACCATCCTCAAAAAATGTCGGTCTGGCTGCAACAACAAGTGGTGTTGCTTAACTCCATGTGCCGTGGCAAAGCGATGATGCTCATTACTGCGGCAAGTATGATGTTCCCTTGCAGCAACACGGTGTTGCTTGACACCATCATCGACAAGTGTTCTATGGCCATGAACAGGATTCAGGCAAATGATGTTCGTTTGCCGCAACACGGTGTTGCTTGACACCACCTTCAAAAGGTTGCTGCGATGTTTGCAGCAAGGGGACTAACGCCGCCACGATAGAACTTTTTACAAGTTTACCTCCATTTTGTAAGCCTGCTTTCATGATGGGTTGAGTCATGTTGATTAGGTTAAACTTTGCTGAATTTGTTGTTGAAATTGAATTTTGGGTTTAATATCAACAAGTTCATCGTTACATAAGTACACAATTGTTACTTTGTTTTTGCGTGGAGAAGGCAAATGCCAGATAGGTGAATCCGTGCAATGAAATTCTCTCTTATGCAAAAACTTGCAGGAGTGATATCTCCTCTAATTCCCTTTTTCGAAATTCCTAGTTGCTGCTGCTAATCGACATATCAATTTGTAAATGCTCCTTTTCTTTCGTTCTTTTATAAATGTCTCCTGCATCATTTGTTCTTTGCGGTATGTCGCTTGATAGTTAAATTTATATTTTTGTGATATTTAGTTATGACAAAACACCCCGAGCGCTGATATTCCGTCGAGATCACGACAAAGTGGTTGATATGGAAAGTATGATTCAGTTAATGAGGTTAGTGAAATGACGGCGATGATCAGTTTCAGTAAAGATCATACTATAATTGATTCTTATCGTTAGGTCAAACAACTACACCCAAGATCCGTTGTCGAAATGCGATTGTGTTCCACCATACTCTGGTGAAAATGCCATTTCTTGCCGCAGTGATTTGAATCCACCAAATGGTACCTATCCTTTTGCTGCTCTTGGCCATCGAGATCATGGTGCAACCGACATGAAGGTAACCTTTCTCTTGCTTTGCTCACGAATGGTCATAATTCAACCCATCGCTTGATATTTCTTTTCTACCAAGGTTCCATCAACTAATGGAAAGTGGTTTTCTAGGTTACCAACTCACATTTGATCGAAATGCTCTCATTCACTGCCATTGCTGGCCCAACCCACGACCCGACACCCGTATTTGACTGGACTACGACTCCATTCAGAAAGATAGTCCCGCACAATGGACAACCTATTCGGTGGACGTAAGTATAGTTTTCAGTGTTTTTTTGGGACATCATCACTTTGCATAGTTTGAAGTTTGCAGTTCCCAAGCCAATAAGCTCTAGATTTTTTGAACATTTTTTCGAACGTCATCCTGTCTTCAAGTGTTATCAAGTTCTTTTTCCAAACTTGACGACTCATCATTTATCTAATTCGCCAAAAATTTTGCTTAGAAATAGAAATCACCAAACAAGTTCTTTTTAGATTTGGGCCCATTACACACGAATGGGAAGAATCGCTATTTGCCAGCAAGCAAATAAATTCCTCATCTGTACAGCTAGTTGATGATATTGAAACGCTTGAAAGCCTCAAACAAGACCTTGAAAATTTTGTACCAATTTGATCCCTTTCTTTAACAAAAATTCACTTTTCATCCTACCTTGATATTTGAAGCAATATGTCTAATTTATGCGTGTAGTCTATGTACCATAATTATGTTTGATTGTCTTCATATTGAGACACAGTTGCAATTTTGTTACAATAAATGCTTAAAGCGAATAGATTTGTGACTTTAGCGGTTTCTTCACATCTACATATTAACAGAATGCGAAAATCACTGAGAAACAACGTCTGCTTCATGTCGATGACAGTTTGGTCTTTTATAACGTTATAAATGTTCATATCTATTTTGTACAGACAGTGTAGAATGGATCATAATAATAATGGCTGCCCCCTCCCGTATCTGAGCGATCTGGATCTCCTTCGGCGTACAACTTCAGGTTCTGAAATACGAGGTTCTGGTAAGATAAGAAAATAATTGAGGTAATGGTGGGGGTTTTGGATGGATCACTTGCAATCTTCACACATCTCCGTCTGATTTTTGGTGTTCGTCAATGTAATTTGCTATCACTTCTTTTTTTCACTCCCAGACTATGATTTTCTTTACAATTATCATTCTTTCACGCATCCTTTGCTAAAAATCATCATTAGCTTACCTTGAAACAGTTGTTGATATGCTTTTTGTTGATTCATAGCTCTATTCCACGACGATACGCTCCAGTTAGGCGACTGTAGCGGGCTTCGGAGCAAATTGATCATAACTAAAAACGAACATAATTTTTAATGCCGTGGTAATTTCTTTTGCCAATCTTCTAATGGAATCTTGAACAAGAAATTTGATTTTGAGCTATTTCTGTAACTAGCGACCCTGCGGGTCGCTATAAGTGGATCGAAGCACATGTTTAGAAAGTTTGTGCATCTCAATGACATCTTCCTCCATTTTATTTTACTTGAAAAAAATTTTCGCCGAATCAATTTGCTCCAAGGTATCGGGTGGAAGCATCTGAAAAAGTTTTCTGGACTGATATTCTACCCTGAACTTTGCGCCTTTTTATTTTGCGGGACTCGTCAATAACTCGCTTTTCTACAAGTATAGGTGAGGTTTCCCCATGAAAACGTCTAAAAGCGTCTACTCTTATGTTTTCCTTACACAAATTTTTTTAGATAAATGCCCTTCAATCATCGATCAAATTTTGCCATTCATGTACGAAAAAGTTGCCCGCTATAATCCTTTATGGAAAGCGTTGGCTCCACCAGCCAGACCCAGTCATCAAGCTCTCCTTCATACATTTAGGATAATCTTTCGAATGAACGCTCATCTCCACCAGCGAGACCCAGTTACTTGAATGCATACTTTTTTAAAGAAAAGCAGATTTTTCTAAATAGGCGTTCGTTTCCAACCGCCTTTCCTACAAGATAATAGATCCTTTACCTAGCAGAAGCTCATTTTCACCAGCTCGCCAGCCAGACCCACTACTCAAGCGCATAACCCTAAGTAAAAGCATTTTCAACAGGAGACCCAGTTACCGCTAGTGGAATTTCCTTCAATAGAAACATATCTTCACCAGCGAAACCCAGTTATTTAAAAGCTTTCTCTTCCACACGGAAGACCATAAACTGAGTAAAAGCTTTCCTCCACAACGAGACCCAGTAGTTCAAGCGCTGAATTTTCCTATGTGGAAACCCATCTCCACCAGCGAAACCCAGTTACCCAAAACGTTGAATTTCCACAAGTGAACCCTTTCCTCCACCAGACCCAGTCATTCAAGCGTTGGAGTTTTCTAAGTGGAAGCTCACTTCCACCAGCGGGACCCAGTTACCCAAAGCATAGAATTTCGCCGAGTAAACGCTTCCCTCCACCAGCGAGACCCAATTACCCGAAGCGTTGGATCCCCAAGTAAACGCTTTCTTCCACCAGCGAGACCCAGTTATTTAAGCATTGGATTTTCCCATATGAAAGCTCATCTCCACCAGCGAAACCCGTTACCCAAAGCATTGAATTTCGCCGAGTAAACGCTTTCCTCCACCACCGAGACCCAAATACCCGAAGCGTTGAATCCCCATAAGCGCTTTCCTCCACCATCGAGAGCACTTACTGAAGCGTTGGATTTCCCCAAGTGGAAGCTCATCTCCACGAGTGAGATCGTTACCCGAGGCGCCGCTTTCCTTCACCAACGAGACCCAGTCATTCAAGCATTGGATTTTCCCAGATGGAAGCTCATCTCCACCAGCGAGACCCAGTCACGCAAAGCATTGAATTTCGCCGAGTAAACGCTTTCCTCCACCATCGAGAGCACTTACTGAAGCGTTGGTCCCCAAGTGGAAGCTCATCTCCACCAGCGAGACCCAGTCACCCAAAGCATTGAATTTGCCGAGTAAACTTTCCTCCGCCATCGAGAGCACTTACTGAAGCGTTGGATCGTTACCCGAAGCGCCGCTTTCGTCCACCAACAAGACTTAGTTACTCAAGCGTCGGATTTCCCTTAGTAGAAGCTCATCTCCACCAGCGAGACCTAGTAAAATACCCAAAGCGGGATTTCCTCAAGTAAACGCTTATTTCTATCAGCGACCAGTTATCCAAGCGTTGAGTTTCAAGCCAAAAAAACCTTCACCAACGAGACCCAGACTCAAGCCTTTCTTTAAGTAAACGCTTGTCTCCACCAGCGAAATCCAATTACTTACGCTTTCCTTTCTATACAACAAGGAATATTTACATAAATATATACTCGTGTCCACCAGCAACCAATTACTCTTTCAATTCTGGAAGCAGAAGCAAGATTAGCCTGAGATAAAACCTCACCCCCACCAGCGACACCCAATTACACAAATTAACCTTTGTACAAGCCCATCAGATAACATTTTTGATCAAAAGTTCCGACATTATCGTGCGTAGTTGTCTGAGTGCTTTTTCTTCTGAGGCGTCGCTTCTGGCAAGAGAACGCAGTTTCACGCTTTTCGGAATACGACAAAAGTTAGATTTTCTCAAAAGCTTGGAAAAGCAAAATTTCCCATCAATCGCAGTATTTCTTAAACATGCTCCGAGAAGCATTAGGTTTTGGCTCTGCCATGAGACCCACTTAATCTGTGCAATATAGTTTTTGTGTAAGCAGAGAAAAACGAAACAAAAAAAACGATAAATAAACGTAAACGCATAAGGCAGAAACATAAATTGGAAATGTTGAAAATCTTTACCGCCTGCAGGCAAAAGATTTTAGTAGATAAAACCTATGTAAGACGATGCGGCAACAACCTTGCACGAGGCGACTTTTCATGAATGGCGACATAGTATACTGAACCTCGACCGGGGGGAACATTTGCCTGCTTATTTTATGGATGTTGCTCCTGGATCGCGTAATCATGTGACTTATGCGAAAACATTGTCTTGAGACTGTTGATATGACTCGTGATGGTCTGTTTACAGTCTGGAATTTGTCCTTAGGCGACAGCCATGCGCGAAAAAAATTCGAGACGGTTCGGTACAAATGAAAACATGTCTCATATATTGGAATACACAAGGGGCGTGTCCCTTGTGTATTCCAATATATGAGACATGTTTTGTCATCTCGTCTGGCTTCTCCTCGTCTACCATCTGCTATCGTTTAGGGAAAGTGCACGAATTCATGCTTTTATATTTCTGTAATCGAAAAAAAAACGAAAATTGCTTTTTCTGAGAAAAGTGTTTGTGATAACTAATTTATACTAAAATAGCTATAGCTTCTATACAGAACAGTACAAAAAACTAATAACAAAACTAGTAAGCGAGTTCTTTTTTATATTTCCAGACATTTTTTTATAGACACGTACATGATTTTCTCCGTTTATATTTTAAATATGGCATAAAGGAAATTCAATCAGAGTAAACTGTTAAAAGTTTTGCCCCTCCCCCCCCCCCAGTATTTTGAACACACGTATTATCAAATTGCTTAGTGCAGCACTCAAATGATTGTACTATGTGAGAACGACCATTCCTGTCAATTATATCACATAGTTACTTTAATTAGCGATTCAGGGCGTCCGAACTTAGAAACATAGTTTTTTGTGTGGGAGGTAAACATGACGTCAAAAACGGCTCTAGACATCAGTTCTTTGGAGTTTGTTGAACTTTGGAATAAAAGAGTAGGAAACTGTTGAAGTGGAGAACTCCTTGAAGATAAGCTTTTCAAAAGTTTTTGATTGAGTCACGTGCTGACGAACATTCACGGGATTAGAAATCATTTTTGAGGAGAATTTATGTACAAAAATTGTAACGAATACTGGGGGGGGGGGGTTCTTTTTGCTATGAGGCTTTGTTCTTGTAAACTCCTAGTTTTATTTTTTTATTGATTATTATGACTGTTTCCTGATTTCATCTATTTCGAAATAATTAAGTTAGAAGTTGCTCAAATTTTTTGTGGTAGATGAATTGATTGTCAAAGAAAATGGTTAATGAATAGATTCATTGAAAATAAATTAGTTTTTTTTATTGGTACATGTAACTTACCAAAGCAGTTTTCTCCTCGCTTCCTACCTTTGCATATATAGGCGGCTGGAACTGAATAAACTTGTAGGAAGCAAGACATCAGCAGTATCAACGACAACAACCCTATTGTTGACGGGGACATTTTTTACCTGGAATAATGAATAATAAATAATAAATTAGGAAGTGTCTGATTTCCGAAAAGTACACAAACGAAATGAAAAAACAGGAAATTGCGTTTGCACTAGAATAATAAGGAAATGCAAAATTGGAGAAGTACCAGCATTAGCGAAAACAACAAAGACGCTAAATGTTGTTTATAGGTTAATATTCAACTACATTTAAATTTGATAGGAGCAACTTGTGTCGAACCAAAAAAGTATGCAGTTCTCATATCGAGAGATCTGAACAGTTCTCAGAAAAAGTCATCCATATCTAATTCCAATTTCGCATGTAATTTTCTAATATCGAATTACTATATGAAAAATCTAAATGTGTTTAGAATCAGATTACTTCCTACAAAAATAGACCGCGTAATTTCTACCGTAATTTTTCACAGACTATGTCTAATATATGGCTTCCAAATAATAAACGAACATCATCATCACTTTATTTTATGAGAGCTTCTGGAATGTTGCACTCTAAGCAATGAAAAATTCAGTAATTCCCACTCTTCAACATTTAGAAACATATAGGTGTTTGAAAGAGTGTGGGAAATGGAAGGGATATGGAAGGAAAGGTCCAGTCTTTTTTAAAGATGAAATACTTTTTTCCGAACTATATCCTAGTTCCAACGCCGGCTAAGACATTCAAAGCACGAATGATTAAACCTGAGAGTTTTTTCGTGAAGCAAGAAATTTTCGACAGCAGGTAATTTTCACTACTCAGAAGTTTCTTGGTAAAGCGACGTAGGGAAATCTGATATCCTTCCTATTCAGCCACTAATCACGACATTACAGTCAGTACATTACGTCGAGATTACTGTATTTCCCTAGTTCTCGTTGCAGAGGCTTTTTTGCACGATTTTATTCTCATTCTATGATATCTGTTGTAAAAAGGATGAGCTATGACTCAGCTTTATAGTGATTAAATAACTTCCTGCACTACCCATTCATATGTCAAGGGTGACGATGATGAAGGCTTGGAAAAATTCCGGGTCTGAAAAAACTTTTTTGCAAGAGAGTGTTGCATTAAGAAAATGATGCAAGCTTAAATTATGGATGGGAATTTTTCTGAGAAAATAAAAACAGTTAGGAAACGCAGCAGTCGCCGCAAAAATGCTTGGGAAACTGCTGTTGATAAAAATTGGAAAACTACTAGCTAGGGAAAGGAGGTAGTGTTCTAATACTGTAAGCTAGAAGAGGGGCCATTGATTCACAAGTTCTTGAGTCACTAACGCCATTAATATGTATCATAAACACTGCTAATAGACCATAAAATGTACGTTATATAGGCACCTACGACGCGCGTTAATTGTTAAGTGATAATAAACACAAAATGAACAATAAATAGATCTTATGACTATGAAATTTTTCATTTTATGACTATAAAGGATTTGGTCGAAATTTATAGTGAACTTTTATTAATCCTTTTGAATGCGGTCATAAGATAACGAGGACAAAAGTGATGTGATTATGGTAAGAAAACTAAGTGATTAATAGAAAACATAGATTATTGTTCGAAGATTATACTTCTGCTGCATCGTAGCGAAAAAAAATGAAAACGTGTGGAAAAGTCAAGAACAAACAGAAAAGTCACTGAAACATTTGGAAAAGCCTCGATAACAATAGAAAAGTCAGCAAAATACAAAATCTCTAAGATAACTATCGTAATCCAATCTTGCCCTTAAATTGTTTTTCGCATAGTTTGGAACAACTGTTTCATCACAATAAGTTTACTATTTTACGAAAAAGGTATCTTACCAAGAAATAGAAACAGACAAAATTCAAAATTTGAAGATTTCGATATATTTTTTGCAAGAAAGTGGCCTAAAGCCCTGATGAGTATGAGAACAGTAGTTGAATTTAAGGTGATATTTTGCGAATTCGTTTGAAGCGCTAGAATTTTGTCTTCTTAAAAGGTGGAAATTGTTAGTAAAAAAGACAGTTGAGCAGTGAATGAGATTGTTTTTGCTTTCTTAAGTTAACTCATTCTCAAGACTTCTTGATTTTTGGTAATGATTGCAGGATATAACTCGAAAATTTTTCCCTCCTAACTCCGGATTTTTGAGAATTTTTCAAAAGTACATTAAATCAAGTAAAGTTCAGGCTGAAATAGACTAGCAATGACAATTCAATCGAGGGTAATGGGCGTAGTTGTCGCCGTCATAGCCATATAAGCGCAGGATACTTGAACGCATTGGATAATTGAATTCGAGCATACAGCAAGCTGTTGAAAGGGGGTGGAGCTTAGAGAGCTTGGATATAGAAATGATATTCTGGAATTCTTATAGAAATTTTTCTGAAGGATCATGGAAGAGATATCCAAAAAGTCAAACAAAAACTGGAGGGAAGGAAAATTACGTTGAAAAATGACGTTTCGCAAAGAAGCGGATTCCGAGTGAGCCTTTGTGCTCCTGAGTAAAATAAAGAAAAAGTAGTTTTTGCAATCAGATCAGACACCGTCGTGATCCTCCAATTCTTGACATTCATCGAATATTGAAAAGAAACTACGTAAATGTTAATCAGCACACGTTCCCGTTTATCATTCTTCTACGCAAAGTCATCGTTTAAGGTCGCATAATCAGAAGAGTAACAATATCTATGATTAGGTGCGTGGGTTTGATCACATGCATGAGATACATAAATGTTTGTGCACTTCTTTAGCCAAAATTGTTTTGTATCTTGAATAATGTAACGAACGTTGAGATTGAATAAGGTAAGAGGCAGTAAGTCATTTTCAATCTTGACTGTGCTTCGACTGATCCCAACTTGGAAGCTAATGCTAATCGGGCACTTACACGGATATGAAAGTATAATTTTAGAAATTTTCGTTCCTTCCCTTAGACGAAGTTTTAATTTTTATTTTTTAAATTTCTCATTATATTTATGATGTTAGAGTTTTTTAAATTTTTTATTTCATTTCGTACTAAATCCGTAATATTCAAAAGCAGCAAGAAGATATTCAAAAGTACGAAACACATACAAGATATTCAAACGTACGGATATGAAAGTATAATTTCAAAAATTCCGTTTCCTCCCTTCACTTAAACGGAGATTCGCTTTTTGTTGTTTAAATTTTTTAGTGTGTTTATAAGTGAATTTTCAAAATTTTCACTTCGTTCGTAGCAAATCTGTAATATTTAGGAGTAACAACAAGATTTGAACGTACGCATTATAGCATATAAACTTGGCTCCTTTTAAACATCTTTTAGAATGTAATATTTATGCATAATATAAGATGTAACATCACCTACTGTTTTTTTTTCAAGCACAACAATTAAAAAATTTAGATTTTTACATATTTAAACTTTTTTGACAGGAATTGTGGACATTTTTAACACTCAAAACAAAAGGATACTGTATCTCGTATGTTTACTGAAATACCTGCAAAATCCTCATTGTTTGAACTTTACTACTTTATTCAGCATTTATAATAGCTTTTCTTATCAAATTACTCAGAGTTGTAAAGAAAAGTAAACGTAAGTGTGCGTAGGCAAGTTCTACAAGCCAGACTATAGCAGCTTCTTAGAAAAAACATAAACATAATACAAATGAAAGTTTATTCTCTGCAATTACGACTATTCACTAAGAATAAATTAGACACAGCTACAGTAACCGTAACAGATGCAGTGACTATGTATGCTTTATATTGTCAGTATGTAAACAATACTTCGTGGTCATGTGTGCAAGGGTCGTAAATGCGTAGGAAGCGGAAAATCTGCTTTTAGCGTTGGACTACTATGAAAGGAAGCGCTGAACTAGCATATGAATTGCGCATTCAGACTAGAAACAGCACCAACCCAAAAGGGGTGTTAATGACAAAAGCATAGCTATAAACTATAGCTTCGTAATTAAAAATAGGCCAGATTGGTCCAGGGAGTATATTTGTACGTTTATGAGTAATTTCGTCAACTTTTGAGCTTTCTTATTCCAGCCAGGAAAAAAATCCTTCATGAATTAAACCCTTTCTGAGATATTATATCAATCTGCTTTTCCATATTTGGTAAGATATGGCCCAGATACTACAGATGCCTTGAATTATTTATAGCAAAGTACATTTACCGCTGTTTGATTGCTTGTAATTTTCTTGTCTGCTTACCTTTCTCAGGATAATATAGGTAAAAATGGAACGAGTAACCAATTGATATGCATCATGTAAGCAAATGTGCTAGAATGAAAATAGAAAATAAGTAAAGCTCTTTTTACACTGTAGTAATAATAATTAATAATTAATAATAATTATAATAATGCTATACGCTATAATTATGATATATGATATTCTATATAGTAAAGTTGTGAAGTTATCAAATTTTGGCTAAATCTGAGATCTTCAATGATGAGATTTTCACAACTGCTGGTTCTCATGATGTAGATAATAACACGTCTCATATTGTTCATGATTTTATTATCTTCTCGGTTCCCAAGGCATTACGCTGAAGTATTGTTTCTCTAAGACTTGAACTGCGATTTCAATGTTCAGGCTATTACAGTATACCTTGCGTCCCGAAGTGGAAGCTTTACGGTGAAATGCAGAGCTTATGTTTGAATTTGTTACCTTTTGTGTTATAATAATCTTGCTTTCTTTCTTGAGATTTTTGTGTGGACATCCACTTCGTTTGTACTTAGAACTTTGATATTATGCAGCCGTCGTTCAAAGTAAAATATTCCTTCTGCAAAAAATTCAATGCTCAGCATTAGGAACGTGAGAAAGCGAAGTAATTTGTTTTCTAACGCTAGAATAATGAGGAAAGCGTATGACGTTTCATTTTTTCATGGTGAATACAATAAGATAAGAATCAAACCTTTCACTCGAGCAGTTGAAATTTGTAGTTGGCTAGCCATTGGAAAAAATGATACAATAAAGTACAAAATTTCTGAAAGCAGAAATTTTCTTTTCTGCGCTGTGCTTTTCGCAGGCAGAAGAAAAATACTAAGCATTTTGGGTGAAAATAGAAGGGAATGAAACCAGCAAAAGCATTTGAAGAGGAAAAAA